GATCCTCTGACCATACATAAAAAAGATGTTTGCAAGAAATTTTTTATTTCTTTACTAATAAAGCCTTAATACTATCCCTAAACCAACTTAAAGTTTTACTTCAAGAAATATTCCTAAATTTTTTTCTTATTTATATTTGTTTTTAAACAAAAACTTGACTTTCTATAATTTAGAAAAGTCAAAAAACATCTTTTCTATCTACGATAAGAAAGTTCTGCAAAAAAAAAGAACTAATAGTGTAGTACTTAAAGCCTTTCATATTGAAATATATTTATAGAGATTTCTGTAGTAAAAGGTAGTAAACATCAAGTCATATTTTCAAAGTATCTACTTATTATTTCTTTTCTCTTATAGTTGTTCAAAATTTTTTTTGATTTTTTGAAGAATTTTACCTACTTCAGTTTGACCTTGAATTTTAGGTAATACAATCTATTGCAAAATATGATTAGTAAATATGAAACATATTAGTAGCTGAATATAAACAAGTTCCTATTGGTCACCTTATATGTTTTAATAATATTATTGATAATTAAAAGAGTTGATTGATGCCTATGTTCACATCACTCCTTTAATTGAATTAATCTACAAATCAAGTTCTATAATATCAATAAGATATGAGTAACAAGTTCTTAGGTAGTGAAAAAGCTACTATTTGTTTAAGCCAAAGTCTTTCTTTCCTATCATCCTAGTTAAGCAAAGTTCAATATTAAGGACTTCTTTTTATTTCGATCAGATGATGAGACCAAATGATCTAGTCAATATTAAGCTTCAACTCTTTGGTTACAATTGAAAATATATTTTTTCAGAAGTGGTTGAAGAATATTGCAATCGATAAGAATCCCTATTATTTTTGAAATCCTCCTATCATTATAAGTCAAAAGAATTATTGAAGAATCTGGCCTTTTGAGTAATGAAAAATATATATTAGTAAAATTCCTTTAACTAGGTGTGGCTACTGAAAGGTATTATATTGAAATAACATGATCCAGTTTTTATTAGGTTACATAAGAACCTAAGATCTATTATAAATTATCTATCTATTACAAATAAATAAAAAATTATTGTTCAAAGAAGGTTTGGATCAAGTGTGTCCTGGAAATAAAGTTTCCTATTAGGTAGTCTTCTTAGACAGTATATAAGAAGAAAATCAAGATCAAAAATGGATAAGTTTCTTAAATAATCAAGAAAAGAATAAATATTTCAATTGAATATTTCTTATTGAAAAAAGATTTTGAGAAATAGGTCTTTGAAAGAAACTGGAAAATTTTTTTTCAATTTTTATCTTTCATTTTTTTATTATCTATTTAGATATTTTTAGATATTCCTCTTCTTCTTTTTTTCAATCCATTCTTTTATAGTTTCTTGTATTTTAGCAGCTTGATCAGATATATAATAGTGACAACCTGCTAGTAATAATATAGTGGATTAGGAAAATTTTTACTTAAAAACACTGTGAAATAAAATATTGTTCTCAAGGTTAAACTTAAAAGCTTTTATGCTTATGATGAGTTAGTTAGATTAAAATAATAGTTTAGCTATAATATGTATCATGCTGTTTGAATGAAAATGTACTTATGTTTTCAATTGATTAATAAATCAACAATCTAGCCTGACTACAAATATTTTAAAAAAAAAAAGATAGTTATTTATATATATAGATTACTAATATAGGTAGATATATGAATACTTATTAGTATATATGTTGTCTATCTATATAAAGAGTAATATAAACAGCTGAGCTAAAGCAGTTGTTTTATATGAATATACAAGTATATTACTAATAAAAATTGTGATAATGATTTTATAAACCAATAACTTATAAATATTATAGACAACTTCTTTATATTTGAAATTTATTTCAGTACTAACTTAGCTTTGACAAGTTAGCCCCCTTATAAGGGATGGTAACAAGTTACAAGGTAAGTATTCCAGAAAAAGAAAATATCTCTATTGAGTTTTATTTGATAGAAAATAGGTAGTATATTCTAGGGTAGACACTCTATGTAATGATGTTGCATATATACAAATAAAACAAGGCTAAGTCAATGTTTAAAAAAAAACAAAAAGTTTCAATTTAATAATTAATAAAAGGTTTATATCAAAACACTTATTTTATATCTAAAAAATACAATTGTAAGTTTTTTATAACAAATAGTCTTTAAATTTAAAATTGAAATTAATGAATAAATAATATACAATTATAATATTTTATTTTTATTATTATATCCTAAAAAAATATATTCATTAAGTTTTGATTTATATTCTAAAAAATTTTGCTACAATGTACTGTATATAATAATATTAGAAATTTCCGATACTTATATTAAATTTTTTTTGAATCATACGTATCCATGTAAAATGCGGTATTCTCAATATTAATATTTAATAGGATTAGACGAAATTCCGGAGCAAATACAATTGAGTGATACCTAAGCACAAATAAGTTAAAGAATTGATTCAAAATAAAAAACGAAAAGTATAAGATTCAGTAGTTGTAACGTACAAATACATGTGATACTATCCTAAAAAACGGTGAAACGTGTGAGTCTACTAATCATGAATTTGTGCTTTTAATAAGAAAGATGGACATAGATAAAAAATAAGAATGTAGAAGTATTGAATCCGAGCCTTGGCGTATTCAAAAGAATAGTGTTTGAAGGAAATATAAATAACTATGAATGTCTCTAATTTAGGTTGTCAACTTGTAAGCCTCTCCATCGTTGGTGAGTTGGTAGTCTTATCCTCGATAGCCCCGTCTTCTAGTTCTTTAACCTCTTTTGGCCAAACTCCGACCAATCGAATCATACTACCCCAAGCCAAATCAGTGACCCATCTTGGTAAAAAATCATGCATCAGAACATGTACTCTGGCGATTGTACCAACGACATAACGGTCTTTAGGAAATCCTGTTTCAACTGCTTCAACAACAGTTCTTACTATCTCTTTCGGACTATCCTGCCCAGAGTGCAATTTTTGCCAAAATTCGATTGCTTTCTGGATGTAATCTTCTCCATAAAGAGTTAAAGTTTGCTCCGTAATTTCAGGGGATGCGAAAAATTTCTTGGAAATTTCGACTAAATCGGGGTGTGTTAATCTACTTTTAATTGGACCAGGTTCAATCATGGTTATGTGAATTTTCCAGGGAAGCAATTCTACTCGGATTGTGTCAAGCATGGCTTCCAAAGCATGTTTTGATGCACTGAATGCACCGTAAAAAGGAAAAGTCGTCCTACCTAATACCGAAGTCATGTTGATAATGCGAGGAGAGATATCTTGATCTTTCTTTAGTTTTTTGAGATTATATTTGATGTTCTGCCGTAAGCTAGGTAGCAGTGCTTTGATAATTTTGATGGGCCCCATGAAATTTACTTCCATGGTCTTTGCAATTTGTTCACTTGAAGTAAATTCAAAAGCGAAGCCCTCATTACACCCGGCATTGTTAATTAAGGCAAATAAACCTTTTTCCTTTGTTTCATGGATTACCATGCGAACGCATTGTTTGATAGAATCTTCTTTTGTTACATCAAGTAAAAAAGGTCGGAGGTTTGGGGCAGAATTATATGTAAGGAATTCTCTAAATGCAGCTTCCGTGAGACAACCTGCAGAAATTAATATGATTTGGTGTTAAAATTAATGTTTGATTATATTATTTTATTAAAACGAAATTTCACCTGCAAACACATAGTAACCCCTTCTGTGCAATGCCTTCGCAATTAGATTTCCGACTCCAGAATCACAGCCAGTAACAAGCACATAACGATTCGCAAATTTTTGACTTGATATTGGAGGGGAAAAAAAACTACTAACGTATGATAAGATACCCATTTATGAAATAGATAAAGTTTATTTGAAGTTCTTTGAATTCACTCCGAGATATTATAATATATTGACAAGAAATTGCGGAATTTTTATTGTAATTTCGTTTCTCATGAATGGGTTTATAAATACAACGACGTTGGCGAAATCCCGAGTTAAATAACACGTGAAAAAAAAAAGGTATTACTCGTGTAACAATTATTTTAACATTTATTGTATATCTAGTCTTTATTAAAGTAATAAAGCAAACAATACTTAGTAATTTAAAGGCAATGATGTTAGAAGTTGGAAGGGTGTTCACCCGAACTCCTAACGGAGTGATAAATTACTCCCGAAGTTGCACTTAGAAGGGTAAAATAACCTAGACGAGTGAGTTAGTTAAAGAATTAGCTTTAGCATCTCATATTATATATATAGCTTACAAATGTTTAATAAAGCATACGTAACTAGTCTTATAGAGGCAAAAAAAAAAAATAAATAAAAATAAATTCAATATTAAAATTCAATAAATATTTGAAAGTTTAATAAATTTTATAAAATTTATTTAAAAATTATAAAAAATTATAAAATAAATTGATTAAACTATTTATTACTTTTTTTTTTTTGTTTTTTTTTTTTTTTTTAAAAGATTTCAGTTTAACTTTTTTAAAATTAATATCGATTAATTTTATTTTGTTGAATTTTTAAAGTTTTTTTTATTTTATTTTTTTTTTAATTTCTTAATTGTTTTTTAAATTTCACTTTTTAAATAAATTATTGATTTTTTATGTTCAATAATTTTTTGTTTTTAAGTTTTAACTATCAATTATTTATTTTTTTCTATTATTTTTTCTTATTCTTTATATTTCAAAATCTTTTCAAACTATATTTTTTTATTTTTAATGTTATACTAATTGACTTTATTGATCAAATTTTTTAGGACATATATAGATTGATTTTTATAAGAGTGATTCTTATAACTTCTTAACTTATACTATCCCAACCCATTCAAACTACCCTTTGAATTTTACTTGATAAGGATATTATTCTATCAGCTGCCTTGTTATACCCAGGCTATCTGATATTTTGAGGATCTATCAAAAGACTTCTTATTATTTAGAAAGTTGTTTTTAAAGTATATTTGTTTCATGGGATATCTGTTTTACTATTAGGATATGTTTTATAATTAATATCCTTTTTTACTATATTCAGTTCTTAGAAACTAATTGTCTATTGATGTTTTCAATCTCCATGCAGTCCCAAGTAAGTCTCTTAGCAGTTATTAATAAATCAAAGTTGATATCTGAAGTCTTTCAATAATAATTCTTAATCACTTTTTAAATATAATCTTGTAAATACTTTTCTTGATTAAGTGAGGTTGATGACCTTTCCTAAATATATTTGTTTCTATAGGTATCTCATTATAACATTTTATTTGTCACTTCTTAATGGCCACTCATGAGATCTATTCTCTGATAGCTATTGGTAATTAACAATTTCAGATCTTTCATATTATCTGGCTCTTATATTTGTAACTGGTATAGATGATAGAAGTCTCCCAGTTTTCCATAAGAATATAATTTTTTGAAAAGAAATAGATTTTATGTAAGATCAATAGTATCATAAGTTGATCATTGTTTTTTTCTAGTATTCCTTGGTATCTTCACATATTCCAAATAATAGAATATTATGACTTCTTTATTCTAGTACTAAAACTGATTAAGACATATGTAATCTAATTTATAATACTATGATTGAATAATGATATCTGATAAATCATTATGTATAAGAGTGTATGTAGCTGATAAGCATATATCTTGTATAATGTGACCTATATTATAAAACTGTTTTAAAATAATATTGAATCAATAACTTGCAAATAATGACCTGAGAATGTATTCACTATACTATTGACCTACAGGTCTTTTTCAAACTATGATATTATATTATAACAATATAAATTATTATGATATTGTTTACAAGTTAATTGGGATATTTGAATTGATTTTAAATATTTATACAAATATTTTAACAAATTCTTTAATTATAAGTAATTATAATTAATATTATAATTATTTGATATACTATTAAAAAATATCTTTTTTCAATATTAATTGTAATTATATATATATATATATTTTTTTTAATAAGATTTTTTAAATTAGTCTTACTTTGAGACTATGAAAAAAAACTCTTTCTACTAATCCTTTGACCATATATAAAAAAGATGTTCACAAGAAGTTTTATATTTCTTTGCTAATAAAATCTTTACACTTTCATTAAAACAACTTTGAAGCTTGTCTTTATGTATCTCTTCTACCCTCCCTTACTTGTTTATAAACTCCTTTGAATAAAAACTTGAGCATTTAGTGGCCTGAAAAGACTCAAATATATATTTCCTCTATTAAGGACAAAAAAGTTCTAGAAAGTAAAAGGACTGTCAAGTGAAGTGTCACTTTATAGAGCTAAAAGTAACAAAAAATAGAGGTTTTGTTGGCAGAGAAAGACTTATTACCTATCTTTTCACATATTGTCTTGTACTTTCTTAAAGTGTCTATTGTTTTTTATGGTTTTTTTGAGAGATTTTGCTTACTTCAGTTTGATCCTAATTGATTGATACAAAATACATTAGTAACCAAATGTAAACAAGCTTCCATTGGTTATCTCACATGTTCCAATTAAAACATTAGTAATAGAAAGAATTAATTAATATCCCATGTTCACTCCCAAAAAAACTCTTTCCTGTACACATCAGATTTTTGAAAATTTCCTTTTTTGGAAATTTTCTTTTCTCTCGAAAAATGGACTCCCAAGCACTGAGTTTTACTTACAACATGACACCAAAAACTATCTTGACCAAAAACACTCAAACACAAGGCCAAACAACTTCAAACTCTTATCAAATACAACAAAATAATACAAGAAACATAGAGGTTGGTGAGCAACAAACTCCATCAAAAAACACTCTTAAACAAATCTGAGAAGCTCAACACCATCATACAATGATAGATACAACTCTAACGAAACAAGCACTTCTTTAAACAATAACAACATCACACAATATAAACACAAAAATAGGGCGAACTTATCAATCAACACTACAAGCACAGAAACACTCCCAGACAATTAAAATGACAATGAAAGCAACCCATCTACCCCACGTGGCTTCAGCAACACAGATAATTAATATGATGATTGGTTTGAGGAAGTACAAGCACTTCAACTCACCTCCTCCTCTCCCAATGAATCTTCTGAACAACAAAACTTATTCACCTTCTCAAACAACAAACCAACTGACTGGTCTATTGAATATGGCAGAAAACGGTTCAAGATGCACATCCCCACAACAGAGATCCCTGGCAAAGATGACGACAGTAAACTTAAACTCCTACAAAAATTTCTATCAAGATTGGAATCATTCACATCGATCAGAATCAACAAATCCCAAGAATGAAACAACATTACAGCCCTGTTTGGATCAGAGACAGATGCAGAAAAAGTCAAAAATATCAAACTTGATGATGATACAACCATTCACATGCAACCATTACCTGTATATAATGGGATTGAAACCAAAAACAAGACAATTAGAGCATGGAACATATCCCTCAACACCACATTTGCAGATATCTGTACTAGATTTTCCAAATTTGGTAAAATTAAATTGATCAAGATGCAAATGATTGGCATGTGGCAATCAGCCAATATCGAATTCCATAAGCAACAAGATTACGACAAAATCAGCAACCACTGGGCTATCCCCTTCAAAGCTGACCTAATCAAAATTTTCTCCTTCCTGAATACGAATCAAATCAAAGAAGAAAGAAGTATCTACACACTCAAACTCATTAACCTTCCTCCAGGTACCACAGATTTTGACCTCAAAAAAATAATCAAAACAACAAAAGCAGTAATCTGTTACATCCCATGAAACATCAACTACAGAAGGAAGAGATTCACAGTCCTTAGCTTCAAAGATGAAGAAACTCTATTCCAAGCAAAAAACACCCAAACCGTCTTAGGTAACACTGAACTAGCATGGGCAGAACTATCAGAAAAAAACTGTAGCATCTGCTCTAGCACAGACCATATTCTCAAAGACTGTTCTACAAGAGCATACCAACAACAATCAACAGAACAAAAGAAACTCAACACCAAGAAATTCGACCATTTATATGCAAGATTCAAACCAGCAGGCATACCAAAAACCAAAAACAAACCATCCCTGAGAAGATCATTCGCATAAGTAGTTAAAGATAACCAAAAATCAACAGAACCACACAATACAAATCAACCTCCTCCAATTGAAAATCTCACACTGAAAGACATCTACAACATTCTTAAACATCTCAGCAACGAAGTCCTTTCGATCAAACAAAACCTCAATACACTTAACCAAAGAATTGACAATTTGGAAGATGAAATGAATGAATTATACAACAACCCATCTGAAGAAAATCTCCATGAAACAATCACTAACATCAACCAAGACATTGAAGATTCATTTAGCACCACCTCAAGCACAGCTAGAAAAAGACGTGCAACTAGCCTAGCACAAGACATCAGAACAGAACAAGAGAAACTCTCCAACCAAATGAATAAAATTGAAAATTCAATCACCCAAATGACCTCATCTTATGAGCAACTCATCCAATTGAACTCAACTCCTACACAAAATACAAACCTCTAGA